GTAGGGAAAAAAATAGTAAGCTTATTGTGCTGCTGTTCAAATGGAGATGCAGTCTAGAAACTCCAGAGTGGGTGAAAATGTTGCTTAAATGTAGCTTCTGCCCTGAAGACACTTACTGACCATTACAGACATGATATGAAGCAACATTTTTCTTCCACTCCCCTTCCTCTCCTGTTCTCCAATCCCTTAAAAATATCAAATATATCCTGAAAACTAGCTTTTTCTTAAACAAACAAACAATATTGTTTTGGATCTGAATTAATGGCTTGTAGGGGTTGACACTTGTTCTGTTCCCCCACTGCATTGCAGCTCATAGCAGCTTTCCTGCCTTTTGGTGAGTAACTCCCAAACTTTGGGACCAAACCTAAGAGTTCTTTGTGCAGATCAAGGACTGGTTTTCTCCTTTCCACTAACCAAGCTATTAAGGAAAAAATCCAGAGGAAACAAATTTTGTTATAGTAATCCCTCTGGAGCTGAAAAAAATGTAGAGTCAGTTCCAGCATAAATATGCTGAAAGAGGCTTGCTTGTGACAAGATGAAGAAATCAAGATGTCAGTTCCCTTCATGAAGACACGCATGCTCCTTTGCTAGTATGCCATGTCCTGCTCCTGTTTATTTAATGGGTCAGTCCAAACAAGTTGTCATATCCCTCTTCCAGCAAAACTGAACAGGGGAGGAAAAAAATCTGAACACACATCATGTGGGAACTGACAAACAGGCAGGTCAGCCTGTTGGCTTTCAAGGGGGAGAGGGGAGGTGAGTTTATAACCTCCTGTAGGTTGGTGATCTCTTCGTACCTGTTCCTGCAAGGAGTTTGGTCCTGCTGTAAATGTGTAAATGTCCTTGTGGCAGCAGCTTACATTTAGTGACTGTAGGTGGTGCTGGGCCAGGGTAATGTTTAGTGGCAGATGGTAACTTTGCTTGAGGCTGAGCCAAATACTTCTGGATTCTGACTCCACCTTTTTTTATCCTTTACAATGCACTTCCTGAATTTTCAGCCCAAACCTGAACAAAGTCCAGCCAACTCATTGCAAAGATCCCATTGATTTATCTTGGCTTTTCAGACAGCAAATAGTTACAAAATTACAGCTGTGCACAGGCCAAGATTTGTCTGGACACTTCCCCTCGGCTACTTTAGCAAGGTGGTTGTATATGGTCAGTCTCCACACTGTTAATTCAGCAATATATATTTACACTTAGCTTTGATATCAAGTAATGCCAAGTCTCCCTTTTTCTTTCTCCTCTCTTGCTTCAGAGGAAGCTATCTTGGAAAGATACCCAGTTGCTGATGATTATGTTCACAGCACTAGGAAGAGGCAGCTCCAGTGTCATAGCAGCAGCAGCAGCTTCATTTGCAAAGCATCCTTCCTGGTAAAGGGACACAGTGAATTTTGCAGAAAGGCACTCAGAGTGAGATGTGGCTGCCTCTGAGGGAAAACACAGTGAGTGTGTCATTACTGCCTGTTTAATTGTGTGCAGCAGGGCTATGCAAACAATCCAAGTAGGAAAGGATTAGTCAGCCCACTGAGAAACTGCAGGTGGAGTTTCTTTTTAACCATTTTATTTATAACCACGTCCACAACATGTGGTCATTCCTTGGCTCATCTTCAAAATGGAAGGAGACAAACCCAATTCTCTAGGGACGTCCTTTCCCCAGTATTTATTATTTCATTTTTAGCAGATCAAGACCCACTGAATCTTTGCATTTCCTCCCGTTAGAATCATCCCAGCTCCTTTCAACTCAGGAAACCAAAAGTGCACTTTGTAGCTGACAATGGAAGTCAACAAATAAAAGGTGTTTTGAAAAAATTTGGAGCCTTGAAAAAAATGGTTCTCAACAAAACTTTTTTTTTTTTCTTTTTTTTAAATTAACAAGTCTAAGTATTTTTTTAAAAAATCTGAGTGCACTAAAACCCCAAACATTTTGATTTCAAAGCTGTATATAGATGTCTCAAGGAAGCTGAAAATCATGACTGTTCCCTATGGGCTGGGTTCTGTAAGTTGCATTTTATCCTTCATTAGACATTTATCTCCTGTGATCCTCTCCCTCACCATGATACATGCAGCTGGGATCAGGACATGAGAGCAGGTGGCACTCAAATGACAACAAGCATCACAGCACCATTTTGGACTAGAACATTTCTCATTTTGTTATTTTTTTTCTCACCCCAAAGCTGTTGTTGCCCCCAGGTAAAAGTACTCCCCTTGGCAAGTTCGAGGCTGGGCTTCTTCACAGGCAGCACCATTGCTCCTCATCCTTGCAGCAGTGTGCCATAGGCTATGGCACATTCTTTCTGACAGTAGATCCCAGGAAATGGTAAATTAAAGCCTCAGCCTTCCTAGCATTTTTCAATAGCAATGCAGAAGCTGAAATCTTTGCTGAAAAATGTGTCTCCCAGTCCACCAGTAGCCTACAGCCATGATTTGCATCAATGTGAATGACTAGTCCCATGTAAAACTCGTTAGTGCAGTCAGATTTAAGGAGGTCAGATCATTCAGATCATCAGCAGGGATTTAACCAAGGAAATCTAATGCTCCTTCTCCTGGGAACAAGTGCCATAATGTTTATATGAACCATGAGTATTCAAGTCTCAGCCTGCCATAAATCTGTGATCTTGCAGAGCCCTACTTTAAACTTACAAAGGTGCCAGTTCTTTTGTTGTTTGTGCACAGCAGGAGGGATCCCAGACTTTTCCACGGAAGCAGAAATTCTGGGTAACTACTGCTTTTCCCAACACCTTCTTGGTCTTTTCTGTATCACCTGTGTCAGAAATTAAGTTTCTCATTTTTCTGTGATGTTCCCATTCCTCACAATGGCCACGTCACATCTTCTAGGGCTCTCCATCTGGCTTCAGGTTTTTGGTTTTCTTGTTTCTTTGTTGTTTTTTTTCCATACGGTACAAATGTAAAAGATCCAATATCACACTGTCAGACTGTAAAAAATTTGGCACATTCCAACGACTGCCCTTGTGACCACGTGAGTCCTGATCAAAAGTCCCATGAGACACAGGACTTGCCATTTTATTTCAAGTTGTCAAGTCTTCAGGAAGGGCCACTGGGAGTAAAACGAAAAGCCTGCTGAAGGCTGTGCCTTTTAGATGATGTCTTTGACCTGCAGTGCAACGTGTTACACTGGGAGCTCCCTGTTTCAGGTCCCCAGGCAGCCTCGCTCCAAGAGGCTAAGAACTGAGAAGGTGCTCAGCAGCCGTGCAGGTGGCAGTACCTGCTCTGCTCTCATCCAGGCACTCCACCATCTGTTGCTGGTGTGATATTTCACTCCAATATCTCTTGACCAGACATATGTTTATGTTCTTCCAACGTGACTAAATTGGAAACCTTTTTCTTTCAGGAGGAAATAAACTCCATCTAAAAAACACTGTTCTTCTTTTCTTGTTTTAGTCTTTTTCTTTTTAAGGTTCAAATTCTCACCTTTGGAAAGCAGGCTACAAACTGCTCATATCCTCCCCTCTAGTACAGTGATGCCTTTTTGGAAGAAAGGTGTGGGAATATGGAAAAGTCTGCAAGCCTTTCCCATATGCAGTCCCATTTTGTCTCTCATGCCATTTTTTCTTCCACTTTTACCTTCTCGTTTTCAGTTAAGTTTTTTTGATGGTTTTGGACCATCTGGATGATCTTACAGGTGTTTTCCAACCTGAATGATTCGGTGATCTCTAATTTCTTCTTCTCCAGGACTGGCTTTCCACTCCACACTTTATCCAACACTGCCTGATCTCATCCCATTTTCCTGGAATGTCCTGTGCTGTTCTTATGTATTAGTGGCTCAGGTATAAATGGGAGAGTGGACAAAGTTTTGAGGGCTGGTCCTTGGGAAAGTAGTTTGTTTTCTGCCCTGCTCCTGTCCTTAACTCACCGGAGGTTTCTGAGACTTAGTAATTTAAAGAGTTGCTCTAAGGGTGCAGAGCAGGATCCATCTCTCATCCTGAGAAAGGTGCTTGTTCTGTGCTGTGACATGTGGCTGTGGATACCTGAAAAAGGATGGAGGGTGCCAGCACTTGGCTGCTATTAGGATATTCTCAGTAAAGACCCATTATTCCCAGGAGCTGAGATTTAGCTGAGGCTGGTGTGTTGGTAATTGCAACCTTCTGGTGATGGCTCTGCTTTGTCTTTCCTGGGCCATATTGTCACTGCCTGAAGAGGTAATGCCCTGAGCTGGAAGTGAGAGGAGAGAACAAGGAGAAGGAAGGTTTCATTTATGCTTGCTTTGTTTCTATACTCTTCCGTGAATAGCTGCTGTGGCCAGTGCCAGACATGACCCAGTGTCAACATTTTTAGACTCATTCTCCTTTGGTTCCTCCATATTTTACAGCAGGAA